AAAACGAAGACGTGCTTGATGAGCCTGACCTCGGTCCTAAATTCGCAAACCCATGGCTCCGTGAGGTTGCAGTCCTCTCATGGCGCACAGCGCTCAATGTGGTTCGCACTCCTGAACTCTTCCTCTCGCGCGAGATTGTGTTGGCAGTTATGGCACTCATTCTGTCTTCCCTTTTCCAAAATCTGAGCGGTGACACCTTCAAGGACATAAACCGGCTTCTCAACTTCTACATCTTTGCAGTCTGCCTGGTTTTCTTTTCGTCCAATGACGCTGTCCCAACTTTCATCCAAGAAAGGTTCATTTTCATCAGGGAAACTTCTCACAATGCTTATCGTGCTTCTTCTTACGTCATCTCTTCTCTCATTGTGTACCTCCCATTCTTCGCCATCCAAGGTTACACATTTGCTGCCATTACCAAGTACATTCTTCAACTCAAAAGCAATGTTTTCTACTTCTGGATCATCCTCTATGCCTCACTCATCACCACCAACGCTTACGTGATGCTTGTGAGCGCCCTCGTGCCGAGCTACATCACAGGGTATGCTGTTGTGATAGCTACCACAGCTCTTTTCTTTCTGACTTGCGGCTTTTTCTTGAAGCGCAACCAGATACCCCTTTACTGGAGGTGGGTGCATTACATCTCTGCGATTAAGTACCCGTTTGAGGCAATGCTAACAAATGAATTCAAGGGAATACGTTGCTACAATGGCACGGCGGCAGATCTCACCCCCGGCCCTTTAGGAGATCTGAAGATCAGTCACCTGCACTTAACATCTCCATTAGTAAACAAGAATTGCGTGCTTATCGGGCAAGATGTTATCTCCTCGATGGATATCAAAACAGATAACATCTGGTATAATGTCGGAATCTTGCTAGCTTGGGGTGTTCTATACCGGATCTTATTCTACGTGGTCCTCAGATTCTATTCCAAGAACGAGAGAAAATGAAGACTGTTTGTATTCAAGTACCTTTGCCTCTGCTTCGAAATTGATGCTTGGAGATGATAGCCGGTACCTTGTTCATGAATCATGCAGCAAGCTAGTTCATGAAAGCAAGTTATCTTTCAACATTTTTCGTTTAGAAGACTTCATAATAAACAATAAAGCTTACATTTCGATGCTTGATCATGTCGGGACATAAACATAAAGAGAAGTAGAGGAAATGCAGATAATTTCATATTCGTAACTTCCAGTAAAAAAAAATCCGACTGGGCGAGAAAGCAACATTTTATTTCCAGTAAAATACACAGATTACTATTTTCAGGACACAAGTTTTGTCGAAATATAACAATCTTCTCAGATGGAAATCTCTTTCAGTTTATGACTTAGGAGGGTACCATTCCAAAATCCAAGCGCATCGCGCGAGGATTAGCTCAGACTGAGCCTGCATGTTGTGCAATCTTCCTTTCTAGTGCAGTTTTGTCTGCCCCCACCATCTTGTCAACCTCCTTACCGTTTCTTACAAAGAAAAAGGCTGGAACACCGCTGATATTCCAGTTTGCAGCCACATCTCTTGCATCATCAATGTCAACTTTCAAAAACACGACTTTTTTGTAATTTCCAGCTAAGCTTGTATACAAAGGAGATATGAAGCGGCAAGGACCACACCATGTTGCTGTGAAGTAGAGGATTGTCAGGCGCGACATCTTTGAAGCAGCATTCAATTTTGTCTCTAATTCTCTGGCTGAGTGTATACCAATGACTTCCCCTGTCAAAACCAAAAAAAATGCATTAAAAGAATCCCAAGGAAAATTGGATGAGCCAGATGAGTTAAGGAAAGAAAGAAACGAAATTAAACAGATGATATCTTGCAAATGGTGTTATGAAGTTGACATGAACCTTTAAAAATACCCGCATTAATGTACTACTAAATGGCGTACGAATAAAAGAAATCAAATGTCATACCATCCTTAAGAGCAGACAACGCATCTTGTTCCTGCATGAAATTGAAAGAATTGTAGTTTAGTATAGTATGAAGGTTCTCTATCACTACGCCATCGTCTTTGTCTTTGTCCCAAATCGTGGGGTCAGCCATATCCATCCCTTATATGAGGTCATTATTTAGTGGCACAGGGAATTGAAAGGAAAATGACTCCAGCCTCCACAAGGCCCCACAGATCATAAAATGAATGAATGAGCAAACACATACTGCCAGCTTCTTAACAAAAGCGATGTGATATTTCTTAACAAAAGCGTTATTAACTCTAATACAAGTACTCACTTGAGCTTCAGCTTTCCGCTTCCTCTCCTGTTCAGCACTTTTTATCTCCCTTTCTTTACTCGGGCGTTTGTATTTTCTGCGATGCTCTTCAATTTTGTGGACATTAGGTTCAACCTGAAATTAAAACGAAATTGTTCAGGAACAGTTTCGCTGAAAGCTTCTCCTTCTAGAATGAAGAAAATCACCTTTTTAAGCACCAAACCAATCTCCTCATCATAATCTAACTTTGATGCTACATGCAGATCACTCGCTGCTTCTTCCCATTGACCCAACATGGCCTTAGCCATTCCTCTTATTTTATATCCTTTTGCAGAGTCAGGGTTGATCTGAAAAAACATAAATATAGAGGTCGCTTGTCAATATTCACTACTGACAAAAATTCAAACTTCTTGTACAGTGGATACAAGAACAAGTGCAGTGAGGGTCATCAACCAACCTCTAAAGCTGTGTTAGCATCACGAATTGCCGCATTTGGTTTATTCAATTTGACAAAGAAACTAGCTGAAAGCAAGGATACCAGGTTTCTAAGGGAACGATACATACGAAAAAAGGCGGCCTAAGACATGAAAAAGATATAAGCACAACTAAACAAAAGAAAAAATTGAATTTAGAAAAAATAATAATCAATTTACCTCTGGTTGCTTTTAGTATAGCTGAAGCTGGATTCAACATTATGGCTTCTGTTATATGATCTATGGCTTCGTCCAGCTTACCTGAAAAGAATAAACAATCAATTAAAAGATAGTGAAAAGACAAGCCGAGAAATCTCAACTACAAATGCTAATTACAGTTTCACAACAAGAAGATGCCATGCCTTCAGAGACAGCATCAATAGCTTTTGATTTTTGTAATTGTGCAGCATCCTGCATTTCTTCCGTAACTTCAATTGACGGGTCTCCCATCTGGACACGAAAAATAGACCCAGTACAGCTTCTAAAGGAAGAATCATTTAGAGTGTTAAAATATAAGTATAACAGGTCGCGGAGGTATAACCCTTACCTTCTGTGGAGGATCATTATCAGGCTCCACAACATCAGTAACATCCAACTCGATATCAGATTCAACAATATCATCATCATTATTCCCAGATGGATCACGTTTGGCATCAAAATGTTGTTTCGTGTCTGACATGTCACCATCATCTTTATCCTGTTACCAGAACCAACACTACAACAATATACAACCCCACAAACAACAAAAAGAATGCTTGAAGTTTTAGGGAATTTGTCAAAGTAGAATTATGGGTAATCATGTTATTTCTTTGTCTGGTATAATTCGTAAAAATAAATAACATTGAAGAGGACCACATCAAGAAATTCTCTTATAAGCATGAGAAAAGTGAGCAAGCGTATGGATGTTAGGAGCCGTTGAGCCAATTGCTATTGCGTTCATTTAAATCTTCGCAACCCAATGGCTTTAAACATCCACGGTCACTTTTCATGGTCATAGTAGGATTCCTCGAACCACAACAGGATGCAACCAAAGTACTTAGGAAGTTTAATCAAGCGTGCCTAGGCGCCTGCGTGTGCCAAACTATTACAAAAAAACACAAGGGGAAATGTAATTCCCGTCACTCATAAAACCTACTGAAATTTGAAATTCTGAGAAAATGAAAACCTCCTATACAATTTCAAAACGAGGAAAAGTTGGACTCTTGACAGATCAGCAGCACAGCATTCCCGGAACACCTTAAATTATGTAATTCCACAATTCCCAACATGCATATACACATATGATACACGAATACTAACTAGAAAAACTGAAATTTGTATAAAGATTGAAGCTTTACTGTTACTGTGAAGAAATAAGAGCTCTCACCATTTTCGGAACCGGCGGAATCCAAGCGCCGAGGCTGCAAACAAATAAACCCCACATGCCAAAAACAAAGAATTAGATTCCAATCACATACAATTATATACAATCAACATACAATTCTATACAATCGTATACAAAGATAGCAAAGTTGATGCCTTTGGAGATATGACTTGAAGAAGGCGAGAGAAGGGGTGTGAACAATTGAAGGGTTTGACTTGCACTTGCTGATGAACTCCTTCAGTTCTTCTACCTTTGCAGCATCCATACTTCTCTCTCTCTGTCTCTCTCTCTGTCTCTCGCGAATCAGAGGAATCACTTCCCAGAAAAGTCGAAAGCCGAAAGCGCTTGAAGCTTGTGGAAGGAATTTTTGAAATAGGGATTCGATGCGGGCGCACTATACTAGTAGTGATGGACTTAACCGTTACTCGACCCTCCAATTTTTACCGCGTTCGGATCTTCTCGGCTTTTGTCAAGTGGTTTTTCAGAGCAATTCACATGTTCATTTTTTTTTTCTCCAACATTTCCTTCAATTTTTGATCGTCTCATCAAATGCTTTGAAGATGATTAAAGAAAAGAAATTAACAGAAACGTGTAAAAGATAAAAATAAGTGTGTGAATAGCATCACCGGAAAAATAAAGAGTTGGAAGAGACAGAGTCATGCGAAAATCACTTTCAAAAATTGGGATTGACCTCAATTGCAAGGGGGGCACGTACAGTGATACACTGTTATAATCAACTGACCTAGTTCATGTACACGACTTTGTTTGAGTGTTTAAAACTTAATCCCGACAAGTTTGCTAGTTGGGTCATGTAATCATTGTGTTTTTTTTTTTCTTTCCGAAAAGCACGTGAGACAAAGAAAATCGAACAAAGAACCTCAGGTGTCGAAATACCTTCTAACCACTTGAATTTCAAGTCAAATACATCCATTTATCCTATAATTGTAATTTGCATTTTTAGAAGGAAAAAAAATATTTGCTTCAATTTCATCAATGTCAATTGGTACAACACATCAATACAGAAACATGGCCTCTAGAATTTGCCTTCCAAGTTCCAATGCAGAAAGTAAAACAATACATTTTTACAGCACAGTGAAAGGTAAAAAACAGAACACTTATACCATATATGTATATATCTATCATACATTTATCTAATCCTTCAGGTCCAAAAATGATCTTACAACTACAAGCACAAAAGAGATTGTTAAAACAATGATCTATGCCAGTTGGAAGCTTTTGTTACTTCTTCCCTTTTCGACTGCACACCGCCACCATAAAACGCTAATTTGTAGCTTGGGGAGGACAAGAACCGGAAGAGTTGAACGAGAAACTCAAACCTTGTGATCTGGGCGTGCTGTGGTCTGGAGATTTCCCGCTGACATTGTATGGTGCTGTACTCGTCATCCTAAATACACAAAGTTCAATGTCAGTCGATAAAAGTTAAGGATGGTGCTCAAGTCTGGAGGAGATAAAAAACTGTATCAGTTTCACATTAAAGGCGTTTAACTTTAACCTAGATGGAGTTTATGCGGTTCCAGGAAATATTGATTGTGATGGGGTGTTGAAACTTGGAAATTAACTACGAATGGTAATTTCGTTTCTGTATAAACTAATGTAAGCATGTATAGAGGGGAAAAATAAAGGAAAACTAATGAAATGTTCAAAAAAAACTTTAGTTTTAATGAAAAATGACAAATAAAGAGGTAGTGAATGGTATCAGGAAAAGGTAAAAATGTGGTTTTTCGTTAAAAGTGAACACTACCGGGAGTGTTTCATTAAAACTCCCGAAAAATAACCCTTGAAAGTTACCTCTCCTTGCGCTTCTCAAAAAACCGAGCCAAGGATGCTTTACGTGCTTGAGGCACAGGTACTGCAAACACAGGAACAAAGAATTGTTCATGCTGATATTTAACAAATTCAATGACAAAACAAGAACAGAAGACGTTGTATATCACAGATATAACCGTAACACTAGCATACCAAAAACAAAACCCACAAAGTTATACCTGCTGGAATCAGGTTCGTCATAGCCGATCCCACTGAACTGACTACTGGAGAAGGCTCTGAGCGGTCAATAGGAGACGCTGAAGTTCCTACTGGTTTCACTATAGCTAATTCATTAGTGCTATTAAATGTTCCTCCAACGTGAGAACTACCATGTGAAGTTGCAGAAAGAGGGCTTGGAAGTGCAGAGATTGAACATTTAATATGGGACTGGTTCCTGAAAAAACCATCACCTCCTAGTGAAGGCCCAGGTGTCGGTGCATGCACTTGAGCTACAGAAGGTGATTTACAATGAGTCGGAGACGATCCATCTCCAGCCAGCAACATAATAGCCTGGGCCTAAATAGACAAATAAAGAAATTAATAACAAATAACCTAGAACTTATGTACAAAAGAACCAAATATTCAAATATAAGATACCTTCTCAGGAGATACATCATTATAAACGTTCACAGAACCAGCATAAAAGATGGTTAACTGAGTAGGCGCCCCAGAAGAATGGGATGCGTTCCTGCATAAGAAATTCAACTTAGCTTCTCGAATTTCCAACTAGTTATGATTCAATATATGCTGTACAATTCCATTTGCTAACAAGCAGAACTGTGGTCAGAATATGGTCTTTGTTAAAGTACCTAAGATCGGTGGTACCAACTACGGAGGTTGTAGAAGGATGAGCAGGTACAGGGGACAAAACTGGAACTCCTCCAAGTGGTTGCAGTTTTATGGTAGAACCATTATTCCCAACAGGAGCAATGGATTGGAGAACTGGAGAACTCAAAGTAATTGGGATCTGGGAGTGATGAACTGAATGTGCATCAAACTGCAGCATAGGATATACTGTCATTCCACAGTGGTTTCCAGCTTGCTTATCAAGAACAAAATTTTTCTACAAAATTTGTGCAAAAAAGAAGCCTATAAAGCAACTTTAAATCAAAACAACGAATCAAATTTCACTTGTTCAGTAAACCGACATGTAAGAATATTGTTCTCAAATCCTAAATACCTGAGGCCACGTTGAAAAAGATTCAGAAGGTAGGAGAAGAAATACCTGAATTACACCAGAGAACGACTTCTGGCTGGAGTGAAAAGCATCAGCAGTTGAAATAGTCATAAATGCAGATGTATTATCATGAACAGCTTTTCTTGGCCTATCTTCTTGAGGAGCCTTGAAAGACAGGAACTGCGGAAGTGCAGAAACCTTGTTTGAAAACGACCACTGCATCCCTGAACTTCTAGGTACCGCTGCAAAATCAATAAAAATGGAATGTCGGGATAATAGTTTGGACAAATAAATCCTTCACAAATAAGCAACATGGGAAGTTTTAGGTTATATGGCTCTGTAAATAGATGCCAACAAGAAACATGTTTCCCTTGGAATGCAGTATTTATATCCGAGAGCACAAAAACAAACCTCAACATGAGTGTCAATCACAGCTGTCTAACTGAGATGAACATAATATTAACACAACAAATCTTTTAAGTAAAAAGATCACTATAAATGATCATATGAATACAGCCATATGCAATGCGCACATTGTCAACATACGTTATTTTCTAAATAGACGAGGAAGCGAGAAACGAACAATGAACTTGAAGAACTGGAAAGCTCCTATAAAAGACCTTAAAGATCTAGCAAACTGCTACAACATTTTATGACCCTCCTTTTGGAACATTTGCGCTGCACGCTTTGTGGTATTATTATTATGGGTATACTTTATATCGGGTATGTTTATTTACTACATTTTTATTATAAATCTCGGTTTCATCCAGACATGCAGTATCTATTCACAACAGTAGATTTAAGAACAATATATATAAAATTCAGAACACAATCAGGTACATGTTATCAAAAAGAACTATTCAATTACATTGCCTTGTAAAACTCATCATTCACAAACTTAAAATAAATGTTTCCCATTTGCATAAGTTTTTTAGTATAAATGCTGTATCACCTAACAGCCTTGATCAATGCGAAAATTCTTCTAATATGCAAGCGAACGTGACACATTACTTTAATACATGACATCTCATATGCTCGTTAGCGAAAAAAAATAATCCTGCATAACCCAACAAACTAAAATATGGAGGAAACATATCAAAAATGGAAGAAAACAAAGGGCACATTTTATTATGTTAGCAAGAAAGAGTATAAAACTAAAGACAACCACACCACGTTCTTATAACCAAGTCTCCACCGGCAAGCAAACCGAAAGTTTCTATAAGACTGACTGATCCACAAGTCAACACAGTTACATTCAGGAGCCCGAATTTACCTTTTATGCATAAATCCGACTTTTTTTTTTATTTTTAATACAAGCAATATTCTACACTAGATTTAGTGGGACGGGAATTCAAACTTGGTGCAGATGGGAAGAGCACATTGCTCTAGTCGGCTTTGAGCAAGTTAAATCGATATTATCTTTACCGCAACAGATTTGTAGCTCAAGCTGTTAAGAGCGCTTATCCTTGCACCTGAGCTCATGAGTTCAAAAAATCAGACACCACCCCCCCCCCCCCCCAAAACCCTCCCCCGATAACGCTAGTGTCGAAAGAATTTCATCTTTACTCAGCAAGATGGATGCTTTTGATCAGGAAAGTGGGATTAAGAAACTAAAATGCACATTAGATTCTTTAGATGAGTTTCCAAGCTCCACATGCAACCAAACAGATTCAACACAAGTAACTCAACAATTTAATTAAAACTCCATAACATACAATTAATAATTAAAAACAAAACTGAAAAAAAAAAAATATACTTGAAAGGAAACCTGAATTCTTGGCTTCATCATTGGTTTCTTCTTTCAGAGTCACACAACCATTGTTGGGGCTCAAACCCAGAAAATCTCTCTCCATTGTTTCCAACCTTTCAGCTCAAAAACCCACAAAAATTTCAGACCCAAATTCCACCAAAAACAACAAAGAAGCTAACTTTCTTGAATTCTTTAGAACCCCAGCAGGAAAAAAAAGCCTGAACTTTCAGAACCAAAGCTCAAAATTCTTGCTTGTTTCGATAGAGAGGAAGATAGGGACATATCACATGTGGATGAGGAAGACTAGCTTAGTAGTATAATCTCTCAATAGCTCCTCCTCCTCTCTCTCACATTTCCATTGTGGGAGATTGTTGTATCTGGACCGTCGGATTTGTAAAGGTTGTAATTTTGTGTGGGGTGGTGTGACGCACCACCGGTTGGTTCCAGGTCGGAGACCTTGAGTTACCAGTCGAAGATCACGTGCGGCACCGAAGAGTGACTCTGGAGAGACACGTGGAGGGAAGTTTTATTTTAATTTTAATTTTTTGTTGGGAGTGTTGTCTTTTTTAATGAGGTTGGGTTTTTGCATGCGAGCATGTGGATGATTTGTGTCACAAAAAATAAAGAGTTCACTTTTAAGATAATTCTTTTTTCTTTTTTGTTTAACATTTCTCCTCTCGTGAATCAGTCTTTTTTGGAAATAGAATTCGCTCTTTTTTTTTTTTCTTCCTTCTTATTTGAATAATTACAGTTAAATCACTTGAACATTTTATATTAATTTTTTTATAAAAAAAGAAAAACAAAATAGAGAATGTGAGAATAGAAGATTAAATTGGATAGAAATAGAATGGAAAAAATTCATAACTGCTTTCTTGTGGTTCAAAACGTGGCGTAGTGTGTGGCGCACTTTGTAAATAAAATAATTAACTACTTGTTATTCTATTGCGCTATGTGCAGTGCACATATGGAGGTGAGCATGTGGATGGCATGAGAAACAAAATCCAAATGCTTTTATTATTGCATATTAAAATAGACTTGTGGAATGCATTGTCCTTGCTTGCATTATAAAAATACCCATTTGAGCTCACCAACATATTTAATTGGTTTATAGATATTTACATTTCAAAATAGTTATATTGAGCTTGTTCATTATACTCTGGATGGTACTATTTACGCACTTTTTTTTACTTTTCACATTTTTTTCAATTTCGATTGTCGAATTAAATGAATTGAAAAAAATTAATGAATATAAATTAATAAGAGTATGTAGAAGGTATTTGGAATGTGTGAACAACAATATTCTATACTTTTTGTTATCGTGTGCACAAAATGAAGTCTTACGAACAACTTTTATTATTATAAATAAATAAAATATTCTACAATAAATGAATTGGAATTATACAATATAAAATTTATGTTCGAGTGCGTAAGTTTGGTACATCTGCTCTATATCAACACATAAGTGCAGCTGCTCGTTATCGACGCTAACAAGTCCTTTAGTATATTAATAATTTAAAAAAATGGATTAAAGGTACAGTTTATATTGTTGTTGCTATACGACTACGGAAAAGGATCATTGTCAGATCTTTTTTAAAGGGATCTCATGATCGTAATTGTTCATCTTATATCATGCGATCGGTTTTTGTTAGGTATTATTTATATTTAATTTTAAATTTTAAAATTTGAAATTATTTCTGATCGCACGATGTACGATGAACAATCATGATCACGATGATGGGATCCCTAGGATCCTTAGAAAAGGATCTGGTGGGGATCCTTTTTCCATACAACTACAATGCAACATGTGCCTACAAAATAATATAATTAGCCTACAAAATAATATAACTTGTGCCTAGAAATTTTACACATTGCTATTGACAAAAAAAAAAAAAAAGTTGGGAGTCAATTTTCTTTTGTTCCGAAGTCTTGGACCCCATCCGCAATGAAGGAGGCTTTTACCCAGAATCCAGTTTGCTAATTGGCAAATTTAACCCAACTCATTGTGTGATGGCCTTTTGTTATGCTTTATGATGTTAAATGGGCTCAAAAGTTAAGCACCTTGCAGGCAAGGCAGGCCCAACTATTTTGCTCTTTCTAGTGCAGCGTGGGACGGCTTCTATGGGTCAACGTTGACATTATGGATCACTGTCCTCTCACTAATTCTTAATATCAACTAAAAGTTACTTGTAGTATGATTTAGTTATATTCTTCTTTACTTATAAATGACAGATTAGGTTCAATTCTTAATAATCAAATTTGAATCATATTATTACTAGTTCGCTCAATATGAGACTAAACCCTAAGCTTACCATATATTCTTAGTATAAATAAATATCATTTGTTGAAAAAATAAAATAATATCAACTTGTAACAACTTTATACCACAGTATGTGATGTTTTCCCTGCCTTAAAGTAAAAAGTCTTAAATTCGAATTTCATAAATGATGAAATGTATATGATCATTGCCCTCTCACATCTTTCATTTCATTGTGATATATGTGTTATTTTCTTTTTGTTTCGAGTACTAGTCCAAGAACATTAAAAAGCGAGATACAAACTTAAAACCTAAAGAGATTCAAACCCAAATTATTAAATGCAAAAATAAATGATTTCAACGTTACCCAAACGGTTCATCCAAAACACAAACCTCTATATCTACAACTTTAGAAATACAAATTTCAAACATAGAAAATTGGAAATATCTTGTTGACGTTTTAAGTTTTAACAGTGTTTGAAATCAAAGGTTTGGAAAAATGATCACACGCGGAGGCGCTATATCCATGCCACTCGACTCGGCTCACATTCTTCTCTCTTTTCTTCTTCGCCCCTCCTTCTCTCTCTACTTTCAAACCATCGACATCCATTTCTCGAACTTCCAACCAACTCCTGCTTCTCTCTCTCTCCTCCACTTTCTCTCTCTAAAAGCAGCCCTATGCTTCCACGCTAGGGCTGCGCATATTTCACAAGCCCTAGAAAGGAAATCTATATACAGCAATGGTGTTCAAGGGCAGGTTCTTCTCCTCCAAGAAATCCGACTCCTCCAACAGCCCCGATGGGTCGAATAACAGCCCGCGATCTCTGGGTTCCAACTCCCCGATCCGATCCGATAAGAAGAAGCCTAAATCCGCATCCAAAGACGACTCGCCCGGCCCGAGTACCAGTTCCAGAGGCGGCGGCGGATTCAGTAGGCAGAGTCTAGTCAAAGACGGGTCAAAGAAGAAGGATGTGAAGGGGAAAGAGAGTCCAGCTCAGCTTAAGACGCCGGCGAAGTCCGCGAGCTCGACTGGCGCGACTCCGAAGAAGTCGTCTGCGTCCGCATCGGGGGCTGCGGAGCCGGCGGCCTCGGTGTCTCCCATTCTGGCGTCGTCGCTGGGGTTGAATAGGATAAAGACGAGATCGGGGCCGTTGCCTCAAGAGAGCTTTTTTGGGTTTAGGGGTGACAAAGGGTCAGCGCTGGGCTCGAGTAATTTGTCGAGGCCAGGGGTCGGCGATCGGAGTTTAGGGTCGGGAGGTGGGGGGAAGAAGAAGGAGGCTGCGAGTCAGAGTAGGATTGGGTTCAATGACAATGTGACAAGTGGGAGTTGGGGTGATAATGGCAGCAATTCTGATGCTGCATCAACCGGTAGCTTGCCTTCGAGAGACCAGAGCCCCAACGGGGTGGCGCCGTCGCGGTTACGGAAGGGAGAATCGTCGGCTGAAGATGGTATGATTTCGAGCAATTATGCGATGCAGGAGTTTTATAAGTTGTGCTAATTTAGTTTATGCAGTATGCACTGGGTTATCGTTAAAGATTTAGCCTTTAGGTCGTGAATTGAGTTGGGAACTTGGGAGTCACATGGTTTTCGAAATCACTCTTGTAGGCTGTAGGCATTACCACAAAAATGACTTGAACTCCAACCAAAACTATTAAAGGTTAACGTTTGTGAAGGGCATTGATTTTGAATAATCTGTGGAGCTGTGAAAGCTTTATCTTTTGATGAGTGTGCAATGGTGTGATGAGTGGATGAGGCTCCGGTTCAGGCAGGTGTACCCTATCACTACATGAATCTAGTTTAAGGTAGTACTCCACCCATCAATTTGTGTAAGCTTAGGAAAACATGGACGACAAGTGCGGTTGGCGTGTAGTTAGTTTTTCTCATGCTTCATGAGTTGATACTAGAATGCCTTTGGTCTTTTATGCAAATTACTGGATTTTTTGGTACACTTTCATATTTTATACGATGTGTGGTGTATTTTCCCCTCTAATGGCTTTTGATACCTCCATCATCCTTAACAGGGAGAAACATATCATCTTGGGGTCACTCTGGAGGTTTAAGAAGTTCAGATGTATGTACACCAGAGGTGCGGGTACAATTATTTTATTTACGTCTCCACATATTTATTTACTTATTTCTGATGGTTTCCCTGTTCTATTATTTCTTGTCATGATGTGTTTGCGATTGATATTTTTCCTTAATAGACTGCATATGATTGTGAAAATCCCAAGGAGTCCGAGTCACCCCGTTTTCAAGCTATACTCCGCTTAACAAGTGCTCCAAGGAAGAGGCTTCCTTCTGATATAAAAAGTTTTTCCCATGAACTGAATTCAAAAGGTGTACGACCTTTCCCATTTTGGAAGCCTCGAGGCTTGAACAACCTGGAGGTACTTTTGTCTTCATCTTATATCACCTTTTTATGAGTAGTTAAATTTGAACTAGGAAATTTCACCTGCTTGGAATCATGCTTCTGATATGCAGGAAATCTTGGTTGCAATTAGGGCAAAGTTTGACAAAGCAAAGGAAGAAGTGAATTCTGATCTGGCTATATTTGCAGCAGATTTAGTTGGAATTCTTGAAAAAGATGCAGATAATCATCCAGAGTTGCAGGAAACTCTTGAGGATTTGCTGGTTTTGGCACGAAGTTGTGCAGTGACATCATCTGGAGAGTTTTGGCTTCAGTGTGAAGGCATAGTTCAGGAATTGGATGATAGACGTCAAGAACTTCCTCCGGGTGTGCTGAAGCAGCTTCACACTCGAATGCTTTTCATACTCACAAGGTGTACTAGGTTGCTGCAATTCCATAAGGAAACCGGACTGGCCGAGGATGAACAGGTTTTCCAGCTTCGTCAATCAAGAGTTCTGCGTTCCACTGATAAAAGAATTCCGCCAAGTTTGGCAAAGGATCCAAAGAACGTAAGTGTTGCAAAAGCTTCTAAAGCAGCTTCAGCTAGGAAATCTTACAGTCAGGAGCAACACGGTTTGGAATGGAAGAGAGACCATGTTTTACCGGGAAATTTGTTCTCACCTCCTGTTGATCAACCACCTAAGAATTCGGAGTCTCCTGCTAGTAGGGACCGGATGACAT